ACATTCTTCCAGACCCAGCCCTCTGCCAGTTAATGTTTTATTAACCTTTCTTTGTTCCTTCGGGGCTTAGAAAGGGTATATATGTTTTATTTAGTTAGCTAGTTAGCCTTCTATGACTTTCACAGGTGCTGTCTGGGCTGGACTATGCCTGGTGGTTTGCATATGCCCCTAGCTGCTGCTACTAGTAATTGCTGGTTGTTTCCTTGCCACACTCCAAGATTTACTGTTTTAGAGTGTGTGCTGGAAAGGGTCATGAGGCCCTCCTCATTTCATAGAAGGGTAATTGAGGCTCAAGAGGAACTGCGGTTTATCAGTAACTAGACAATGAGTGGTTCTAACTGGTTTGAGACCGATGGTTACACCAGAGTGACCCAGGAGCCAGCCATTGGCCTCCGACCCTTGGCCTTTCCTTGCCTGGATAAGGGCAGCACTGCCCAGAGGCAGGGTTGGGGAGGAGAGATGGCTGGGGCAGGAAGCCAAACTACCTTTTTTAAAAAAAAGGCATTCATTCATTCATTCATTCATTCCTCACCCGAGGATATGCTTTTTATTGATTTGAGAGAGAGGGAGGGAGGAAGAGAGAGAAACAAACATTGATCGGTTGCCTCCTATATCCACTCTGACCGGGGATTGAACCTGAAACCTGGGTATGTGCCCTGACCGGGAATGGAACCCACCACCTTTTGGTGTGTACAGGACAGCGCTTCAACCAACTAAGCCACACTGGCCAGTGCAGGAAGCCAGACATCTCTTATGTGTTGACATGTATTTGCAGCCTCCTCCAAAACTGCCCAGTGGAGTATTCAGTCTGGAATTTCAAGATTTTGTGAATAAATGGTAAGTTGGCTCCTCGGTATCTGGGAGTACTGTTTTTGTTAGGCTCCCCACCCCACCTGACAGTTGAAGTTGGTAAAATAGCTGCTGCTTTTGCTGCCTGCTCTACAGGGATTGGCATGTTGCCTTGTGACCTTAGTTCAGCATTTATTAGTCTACTGTGGGCTAAGAACAGGAGGGTGAATAAGGCTCAGGCCCTTGGAACCTGTAGGGTGTGGGGACAGGCAGGCAAACATAAGTAACTGGAGTTAGGCACACTCCAGGCAGAAGCTCTCATTGTTATCTTTCTTCCTTTAAGCTTAATAAAAAACCCTGCAGAGAGAGCAGATTTGAAACAACTCATGGTAAGTCCATTTATTTCAGATTCTTACACTGTTTATTCATCTGTTCTCCTGTCAGTCATCCATCCAGTCCTTCCTGAACCCATTCCCTGCTCTGCAACTGCAGTCCAGCTGAGCCTGCTGCAGAACACCAGATATCAGTCTCCTCTGTCCTCCTGTCAGTTTAAAGGAGAAACTGGGGTGGCCCTGCAGCCCCAGGAGTCACAGGGACAGGGTCTTTTAGTAATACTGACTGGCTCACCTCACATTCAGCACCCTCCCCAAGCTACTCTCCACTTGCCTCCCCTTTGGTTGTGGTGGTAGAGGGAGGAGTTGGGAAGTAATAATATAAATATCTGAGCTTACATGCCTTGTGGAGCCTGTACAGTGTAATGTGCACTTCTTTTTTGTTTTTAATATATTTTTATTGATTTCAGGGAGAGGGAGAGATAGAAACATCAGTGATGAGAGTCATTGATCGGTTGCCTCCTGCATGCCCCCTACTGGGGATCGAGCCCAAAACCCAGGCATGTGCCCCAACAGGGAATTGAATCTACATCTCCTGGATCATAAGTCAATGCTCAACTGCTGAGCCACATCAGCTGGGCCATAATGTGTACTCTCAAGCCCATTAGTTCCTTTGTTTCTTCTAACAATCATGTGAGGCACTGAAGGCAGAGCTACTATCCCTATTTCATAGCTCTAGAGAGCAGGTCCAGGGACGTGAGCAAGTTGCCCAAGGCCTCACAGCTGGTATAACTGACAGAGATAGGCAGAGCTGGTCTTTTGTCCTGCAGCTGGCCCTGCTTTCCTGGCCCCCACTGCTGCTCAAGGGCAGGCTCCAGGAGCTCCTTCCAGCTTTAGACCTACCAACACTCTTGAATTTTCCTTCTTGGTGGTTTTTTAACGCCATTGTTTCCTCACATGTAGGTTCATGCTTTTATCAAGAGATCTGATGCTGAGGAAGTGGATTTTGCAGGTTGGCTCTGCTCCACCATCGGCCTTAACCAGCCCAGCACACCGACCCATGCAGCTGGTGTCTAAGCGTTTGGGAAACAGCAAAGAGCGAGTCCCCTGCCCAGTGGCTTGTCATGTTGCTTGCAGGCCTCTTTCCTATGCCTCTGTCAGACATGCATTTCACCTATGACAAAGGATGAAGAACACAGCATGTGCCAAAATTCTATTCGTGTCATTTTTAATAATTGCTGTCTTTACTCTTACTATTATTATTCCCCTAAGTGGATTGGCTTTGTGCTTGGGGCTATTTTTGTGTGTTGATCAAAACATGAGCAACACTGAATTACAGTGAAACTTTGGTGACTGTGGGTAGTCATTCTTACTGAAAATTGCACTGCTCTCCCCTCACCGTGATTGGCTGGCCACCTGTATTTTGGGGATTCTTTGACACTTGGTACTTCATTCTTGCTGGGCATGCCTTCTTTCTACTTGAGGAAGGAGCCTTGTAAGATCCTTCACAGGCAGTGCATGTGAAGCATGCTTTGCTGCTATGAAAATGAGCATCAGAAAGTGTATGTCATGATATTTTATTATGTTTTTGCTTTTGGTGTAGAACTCAGCAATTTCTATCAAAGTCTAGTCAGAGCCCTTCACTGCCATGATAAATGGGGCTTCACCAGTCTGTCTACTCTGATGATTTGTAGATTTCTGGTTATATTTCTATATTTATTTTTAAATATACTGTGTGGGATATATAGTGGTATATGTCTCTAAGTTTGGATTAGTGTTTCTAAAATGGTTACTTTGAATGTTACAAGTGTATCAAGGCATTAAAATGTATGAGATTTATCTTTCCCCAAATCCAAGTACTGATGCTATTGTAAACAACAGTGTGTATAGTGCCTAAAAATTGTATGAAAATCCTTTTAACCATTTTAATCCAAATGTTTAACAAATCTAATCTCTTATTCTAATAAATATATTATTGAGTTAAAAGGCTGAAATATATTTCTACTTTTGTGTTAGGATATTCAGTGTCTCTAGTACACAAGAAATCAGATGATTTAGCCAAGCGTTATTGTGAGGGGAAAGATAAAGACAGGAAGGGGGCTGGAAGGCGGAAATGCCACCCTGGAGACAAGTTCAGTGCTTTGGACTAATGGGGCTTCCTGAAATTCCAATCTTTGGACTTTGTCCAACTCTTCTCAGCAAACACCATTATCTGTGAATCTTCCAGCCAGCGACCTATCCTGTGGACCTGGGAATGAATCCCATCTGTTCCTTCTATCTCTATAAGGGAAAAACAGTAGGTGGGGATGGCCAGCATGCACACAGGAGCACCTTGCTGGTGGTGAGTGGAGCCTGGCTGGCTTTGGAGCCTCCACCCGGGACGGTCTGTCCATGCTGCTTTGCTCCACTGAGCAATGGTTTCCCTCTTTCACTGGTTACACTTAACTACACCTTTCTGGAGAGGAGGAATGTGCCTGGTGTTGGTTTTGTTATGCCTGTGAGGTGGCAGTGAGGTCACAAAAAACAAAGCCATATCCCAGCTGGCCACTGGTATCCTTTTCTTCTTTGAAAAGTGGACTTTTGGAACTTGAGGTGCATGTGAGGCTGCCTGGTCAGCACCTCTTCAGACCTCTTTTTCTTCTCTGAGAGGGAAGGTTAGAGAAAGCCAAGTAAATATACAGGAGGTGGGCAAAAGTAGGTTTACAGTTGTGAGTATGCAAATACAGCTTATTTTCATATTATTATTTATTCATTATTGTTTTTCTGTATGAACAACTGTAAACCTAACTTTTGTCCCACCATGTACATTTTGAAAAGCCTATTTTGTTTTCAAAGTTAAAACAGAATTTGGGTAAGTATCTTGGGCAGGTAGTTCCTCTCTGGATCTACTGGAGCTTGGAATTCAGCCAGGATTCTAAAAGCTGCTCAATGCTGTACACTGCTGCCGCGGCTGGTCAGTAACATTTCTCTTGCTGTGAAGCCAATATCCTAAGTCAACAGTCTGACTTACACATTTCTGACATACAAACATTCACACCTTCCTCATACTGTCTTTTGTTAACAGAAAATGCAACCACTGCTGAGAATGTCTCATTAAAACGAGCAAATTCCATCTGAGAAGGAAGGAATGGTATAACCTGGAGCGTCAAATCTGGAGCAAAACGCTTTCATGCTCAGTATCTTTGGAGGGCTGTTTTTAAAATCTCTATTCACCTCCAAAGGAAGTACATCTTAAGAGGCAAAAGATGCTTTCTCAGTAGTTCCTAAGAAAGATCCCTCGCAAGAATGAGGCTCCCTGCATCAGTCCTACTGTTTTGAGTTTCTCCCCAGACTTCTTACTGAAACACTGACAGTGCTGGGTTCTTCAGCATCTCATTAGCATCCCGCAGTAACCTGTAAAAATGCGAGCAGGAATAGCCTCATTTTACAGATGGGAAAGTGAGACTTGCAAAGAAGTGAGGGCCGCGATCAGATAGTGGTAGGGCTAGAATTTATAGCCAATTTTCTAGCTCCTAAAAACCCATGCTCATATTTTAAATTAGACCCCCAAAATGTATACCTGGAGGCGCGTCATTGCAAAACTATCTTCACATTGTGTTTTCTAAGAAATGCGTTCATTTAAACTTGCTGCTTCCTCTAAGAGTAGCTCAAAATAACTTGAATGAACTGTTGTTAAACATATCCACGTTCTCTCTCCTGGAACAGTTACATAAGAAGTTCTGCTTGAGGAGGTTCTTTGTGTTATGTTTGGCGTTTCTGTTGCATGGGCAGGGCAAATAACTTTTAAAAAGCTAAGTAACTTAACTGTACGTTCAATGGGTAAGGGACAGTATGCAGAAATAAATCTCAACTTCAAATACTAAGTTTTAACAACACCTATTCTGTAACTATCATCTCTTTATTATAAAAATCCAATCTCCCAAGCATAGTGATTCCTTCTTTAATGGCACATTTCCCCCGAAGTCCAGAAATGGGTTTTAAACCATCCTGCTGGCTGTACTGTTTTCCCCAGAGGAGGAACTGATCCATTTTCCTGTTGCTATCTGGAAACCAGCAAGCTGCATGATGGCTATTCATCTACATATTATTTCTATGCACATTTTATCATAGCGATATCTCAACCTAGAAGTGATGACAGCCACACAAAACAGTCTGTAGTGGGCAGTGTGCTGCGATGTCACTGAGAGGTGGCAACAACTGGTGCTCTCAAGTGGTGGTCTGTCCTCCTTGTCATCTTCCTCTCCTGGACTTTGGCTATGCTTACAAGGGTTCAATGGTATGCAAACAGCCTTTAATTGGTTTGCTTAAAAGAGGCATTGTTGATTGAAAAGGCTGGCTTGTACTTACACTCTGCCCTTTTTCAAATGCCAGACTTTCTCAATAGCATTTCAGAGGAAATTTTCTGTTTTGAACACAATCACTGGATCTGACCAGAATACAGACACAGCACCACCCATATTGCTCAATGCTAAGACACTACATCTTTGCTTTTCTATGTGTCACTAATTTTTCTTAAAGCATTCTGAAACTTGAGTTGTTGATGGAACCATTTTTTACAAGTACACATCCTCCTAAAGTTCTTGCTTCCTTTTAAAGCAGGCCATAGGGCCCAGGGCAGGAATTCTTTGGAGAGAAAGTTTCTGCAACTTAGAAATTTAATTTGTAGAACTAACCCTGGCTCTTTCCCCACTTCAGGAATCGGATTCTTCCTCTTCCTCCTCCTCCTCCTCCTCGTCTGGCGCATGGCTCCTTGTGCTCAACTCCAGCGTAGTTTGGTTGATTGATGCTTCATTGTCTACATGCACCAACATCTGCTTTAGCCAAGGACATTATGGATTAGTAGGAGGGCCTCAAAACAGCAAATTCTTAAAAATGATTTAAAACCAAATCTCAATTGGGTATTCATTCCCAGTATTTACCACTAAGGTATGGCCACTTTCCTATTTCTCCAAATTCGTCCCCCACTCCAACCCGCATTGCCAAAATGGGAGGGTAAATGCCCTAAATTTGACAGAACGTTACGTGATTTATAAACATGGTTCTTACATAAGAATTATGCTGGCTTAGATGTATTGCTTCCAAATGGACTTAAATGGCTTCACACAACTGGGAGAGATGCTCAAATATGGTATATTGACAAAGATTCTGATTTTACTGATTTAAGTGAGGGCATATGGTAAGAGGAGGCTACGATGAGGACTAGAACTCACTCTCTAGTACTAAGCTTTGAAGTTGAAGCCACACTACTTTTGAACCCCAAACTTATTCATGGAGCAGCAAGAGGTTTGACATATCCCTGCAAAGATCTCCACTCTCCCTGCATTCATTAGAGTAACCAGAAAGGATAGATGACTAGGATGGTGGAGGCAATATAAGTACCTAATTAATAAATCAATATTAATCAAAGTGTAACCAGCTGGGCTGTTCCCTGACTAAAACAGTAAGATCAAACGGCCAGTTTATCAAACTAGAATATTCTTATTAGTACTTCCCAGAGTCCTTTGGGCTTGATAATTTACAATAATTTTTTGACCTCCAAGCAGCATGACAGCAGAACGGACTTTGCATTCATTCCCTAGGCCCACACTTGATTAAGCTTACATCATGTGACGGTTCATGTGTAGCTTGAGAAGACAGCATCTCATCCCCTCTTCTAGAACTAATCATAGATTGGAGGGCCAATTCTTCAACCTAGAAAAGAATTAAGGACATTTTTCTTACTATTTCACTGGGCTACTGATATGGGAAAATTTACTGTCCATGCTGTAAAAGGTTGGCATCAGGAGAAGATGTGAAGATAGTGTAATCTCCCAGCAGTTTCAGAGAAAAGGGTGGGGTTCTTAAGTTTCCCCTGCCTTTTAAGGAAATAAGCAAAGAAAGCCTCTAGCCCTTTCCCTTGAGGTACTCAGGTGTTCTGACTGAGCCAAGGTTTCCACCCCCCAGACCTAGCTGGCACTGGGAAGAAAACACAAGTGAGCCCTTAAAAAAGCCAAGTGTCATCTTCTGATTCCACAGAGGGCAGATTCCTTAGGCTTGAGCTTGTCTACCTAGTAATAAAAAACTGAAGGCAGGAAAAATGGAAAAGGGAAGTGTTTCCAGGAGCATAAAGAAATTTAGGCTTTGGAGGTCATCATCAACACACACTGGTGCTATGAGAACATAAATAACTGTAGGATATCACAACTGTCCTGAGGAAAAGTGCATATTATTTTGATACATGGCACATGTATACACGTGTACAATGTTTTTCAGTTTACAAAGGGCTTTCATAAATCCTCATCTCATTTGGACTTAAAAGACCCTGAAGAATGGTGCTAAGCAGGAATTATCAGGATCATTGCACTGGGGCTGAAGGAAGTGAATTACGCAGAGGTCTGGGAAATGGTCCTGGTGGGCCTAAATCTATATTCCGTGTCAAGGCCGTGGTTTGAGTAACGGCACGGGGAAGAAAAGCTACTGGGAGCTCTGCGACTTGTCTCTTCTCTCCGCCTCCTAGTCTTTCTTAGCACAGTGGGAGAATGTGCGAGTCTCTCCTAGCTTTGCAATACTAGAGCTGTTTCAAGCGGTTTATACGAGCCAGGAAACAGCGGCTAGGAAATGTTGTAGGAGCTCAGGAGGAAGAAAGAGGTCGGTGGACGGGGAAGATCGAGGCGAGCCTTCGGGAGGTGGCACTTCTTCCCCGCGTGGGAGCCACCTGCATTTCCGGGGTGTCGGGTATTGGAATGAACTCGCCAAGTGTGCAGACTGCTGTGTTTCAACCTAGACCTACAGGATCAAGATTCTGAGATGGGCCCTTAATCTAAAAACAAGCTCCCCAGGGGCTGGTAAGCCACCAGATCAGCGCCCCAGCCTCCAGGTAAGGGAGAGAGCACTAGCAACAGGGAGGCGCTGCAGACACCTGGGGTTCGCGTAGAGCCGGGCTCGGGGCAGTGGGGCGGGTGGGGGCCGCGGGGTCACCTTGAGCCTGTTCAGCTGGTCGTGCAGTGCCGCCTTCAACCGGAGCAGCGTCTCCTCCTCCTTGCGCAGCTCCTGGAGCCGGCTCAGCATCGCGTCTCCACACGCCCATACGGCCGGGCGCTCGCTGATGACGCCACAGCCTCCGCGTTTCCGGAAACGGAACAGCGAGCTGGTTGCACGTGGGCCGTGGCGCTTCCTGCCAGCTCCACCGAGGGGTTAAGTCGGGGTTTTAAGCCATAAAAACTAGACTCCAATAATGATGATTCTTAAAGCACAGGCCATTGGAGCCGTACAGATCCTGGAGATAAAGTTGCTCAAGTATCGCCCTGGCCCCGGTGGCTCGGTTGGGGCGTTGACCTGTACACCAAAAGGTTGTGGGTTCCATTCAGGTCAGGGCACATACCTAGGTTGAGGTTTGATCCCTGGTTGGGTCCATGTTCCTCTCAAATGAATAAAATATATCCTCTGGTAAGGACTAACAAAGAAATAATGCTCAAGTATCGAGTTTCAAATGCTTGTGGGGACAGTACTTCCACTTCCAATGTTATGTTGCAGTTAAGTGGTTATTTTAATGCCACAAAACCTGCAAGTGCGTTTTTTAAGGCAGGAACTATTACCAGCATTCAGCACAGGCACAGGTGCCCGTTTTCGTAGGCAGATTCCTGGTTAAATTTTTCCCAGGTCTGTGCAAGTTAGAGCACGAAAATAATGCAACGAACAAATTGGGAGAGGGTGCCTTGACATGCTAGGTTAACTCTTTAATCGACAGGTGGGAGTATTATAGATCACCCTTGCTATGGATTTGACCGCCAATGGGAGAAAAATCAAGATCCTGACATGAGACGACTTTAGAGTGGTCAGTGAAATAGCTTTAGAGAAAAATGCTTGTGGGTACATTTTTCTGCACCACACTTGATCAACAGTCATCCCCTTAGTAAAACTGAATACACAAGTAGTTCTGAAAATAATGAGGTGGCAAGCATATCCTCCAACAGTGGTCTATCATAGCAGGTTATAACAAGAACACTTCAAGGGAACAAAGTTTCTTACTGCTACACCTCAAAACATATTGATTCTGCCCTCTTGTGGTTACTGGTCAAATCTTTATGGAATTTTCCTAAGTGCTTTTCTTTTTTC